AGCTACCAACTATTATAACGTTGAGCCTATTTTAAGAGTGTTAAATGGTATCAGGGAGAACTTGAAATTTCGCTATGATGAAATAACAAAATTTGTGTCTATATCAGTTTTGGATATAAATATAACATCCGTAACATTATCACCCAAATTAAGTTTACAACTAGGTTATGAACCAAATAAAAATCTCCTAGAGAGAAATTTTGGAAAGTGTCCTGCTAATTTACACTTAGGGTTACCATCTCAACTATTTCTATATTGCGACATTGTCGATCCTCAGATTGTGGGTGATGTTATGATTCCTTTACTAAGAGTCATTTCATTAGATCTTACAAAATACATTTATGGTGCAAATAAAATGCACGTTTTCTCTCAACCTCACTACTTACCTGTTATGCGAAGAGAGTTCGATACGCTGGAAATAGTTACAAGATCGAGCACAGGACAAAAAATACCATTCCAGTTTAGAACCGTGTGTATTAAACTACATTTCCGAAAATTATAATAATGAATTCTCTTCCTGATCATCATAAATGTCCATATGAAAATTATTATACACATCAAGCTGGGTCAGGAGTTGGAGTAATTTATAAGGATTCACCATACCAACGCGGTCATGGTATTGGGAGCTTCTTAGGGGGGTTATTTAGATCAGTTTTACCTTTACTTTCAAGTGGTGCTCGAGTGATTGGTAAGGAGGCATTAAAAAAACCGGCTCTGTCAGGGCCCGTTTTTTTAACCAACATTTCACCATAGGTGTTACAGACAGCCTCCTGTGCAGAGCATGATTGATATTGTAGGGAGGCAGAAGCGGCAGCCCACGTGATGTTGGTGTGTTCAGATTCAGAAGTCGTGGCGTACAGGGCTAAACATCGCGGTACGCCGAGATCAAAGGACTGATGAACTTCTTCGAGGAGATTTCATCGCTCGAATATTCACATTATATATTCCTGCCTACACGCATAATACGCGCTTAGACTTGGAGATGAGAAAATAACCTGTCGTAAACTAAACTCTCTGCCGCGTTAGAACCACATCAAACCTCTTATTCCAAAATTATTCTAATCATAAACACAATTGAAAGTCAAACAACAAAAAAATTTTTGTGTAAAAAATTAATCTCGAATCTTATACCTTCAAATTATAATTAAAGTATATAAATTGAACTAACGTGGTAAAGCCATGTTGCAGTTATATTAGTAGTATAGTTGTAGCACGAATGGGTCTGAATGGGGAATGGATATTTTTAGAACTAAATTTTAAAATAAGGAAATAAAATAACTTAGGATTCTAGAGAAGATTTACCATAATGAACGAATCTAAGAAATTAAGAATCTCGGAATTAATTTAGTAAATTCGAAAGGAGTTCAGAAATCTTAGCTTTGTTTTTAAATTGTAGTAAAAATCATCATCGTAATCTAATAGATATGACGGTTTGTAATCAGTCAGATTAAATCGCAAGTCGTAACTTCATAAAAGTTACGTAACATTTTAGTTGTGAAATATTCCGCTACCAACGGAAGCCCAGACAACACGCAGTGTCTAGCCGCTTTACCTTGTATCATTAGTTTTATCAATGCGACTATACTATCTCATGCGAGTCATGACAGATAATATTACGTAGAAGCCTAAGATTATATGTCTCGATGATAAGTGTCTATCGCCGCCCATGAACAACTGCGCCACCAGGGGAATCCCAGGTGCGTTGCCGGCCTTTTAAAAAAATAGTTGACTCTTTTCTTGAAAGCCTTCTTTTCTCTCTATTCCTATTTTAATTTCCCTCAGTTGTACGACATTTTTGTTGTTTGCCGGGTTTTATGAGGGAGTGGATGCTCTTCCACAGAGCTACACCGTAACCATAATACGATAGTCCAAGATCTGTTACTTTGTGATATTTAATGAATTGATTAATGACCGAATTGAAACTAAAACCACCCTAATTCAATTTATATTTCTGTAAGATAAATTTAAGTTTATCTAGACCGGCGATGGGCAGTAACGTCAACGGTGCAAGACTAGTATACGATTGTCAAATCGCCAGCCGAGCGTGACGATCATGGCAAATCCTTCTTCAGGGGAAGAAGAGGCACAAGTCCAATGGAGGATTTTTATGGGCTAAACAAGAGGTATATTTAAAACAATAATATTATATAAACAAATTATTAAGTATACAGGTTCATTTTGCAATAATCGGCCAAATTTGCAGAGAAGGTTCGTAATAAGTAGGTAATATAGACAAGTGACGAAGACAAAATTTGTTATGTCCGCTCTGCGAAAAAAAACTAGCCACCATTGTTTTTGCCGATGTTGCTAGGTCTTTGCAGTTTTGTCGGTAACTGTTCTTCTGAGTAGACCCATACCGATGATTGCCTTTTATTTTCCGGATCATATTGATAGATCCATATTTCGTCACCAGTAACGATATCTGAAATTCTTATACACGCCTAGATGCCGTGTTTTCAAAACCTAGATGCATTTCATGGCATCAATCCACACGAGTCTGTTTTTCGCTTTCGAAGAGCAAACGAGGGGCCCATCGACAACAAAGCTTCCTTACTCCAAGATGTTGATGTAGGATGGTGTGAATGCTCCCCGAACTAATGCCTACAATCTTTTCGATGTCCGTATATGTGATTCGTGGATGTTCTCGCACCAACATGTCAGTAGTGCATATGACATTTTCTGTCGTTATTGCTGTTTGCGGGGCCGCGGTTCTTTGGTCATCTTTAAGGTTAATTTTACCCCTTTTGAATTCAGCAAACCACCTAAAAATTGTTGCGCGTAATGGAGCTGAGTCCCCTAATGCTGATTGTAACCGTTGTAAACTTAATTATTCGGTTAAACCAAATTTAAAATCATAATAGATCATAGCGTGCAAATGTTCATAAAAAATAAAATGTTAAGATCCATCGTTTTAAATGAAAAGCGCGGGAAGCGTTGCAGGAAAATTAATAGTATTTTTTTTTTTTTTAATATTAGGCAATTTGCTTATGTAGTTCTATTTTATATAAATAAATTTACTTTTTAGAAACGTATACAGGTGCCTTCCATTTTTAAATTTTGAGCATCTCAAAACTTATTGAGTGACCTACGTAAGTTTATTAAGATCGTTTTCATACAGATAACAATTAATGTATAATTCAGTTTATGATAATGTATGTAAATATAACAAGCTCAATCGTGTACTGAAAGCTCGTGCTACAAAGTATTGCAGTATTTTATTAGTTATTTCAAAGAACCAACAACCGATGGGGAAGAAAGGATCTCGAGTCAAGTGGCAGTCTCGTACCGGTAGGCAAAGTGTAGGGCGGTAAGAGATGCAGGAAGTCGATGCATGCAGGTGGCTCAGAACCGTGCAGACTTGTGAAGGACTGTAATGATGATGATACAGTACTTTTAGCTGGATGGTAATAATTATTTTTATTAATATACTTCGATTATTAGATATTAATATAATCTATATGGATAGAAAACGCCGATATCTTTATTTATAAAAATTACGTGTCACGTTGTTTGTCCGCGATGAACTCTTGAACTACTGAACTGATTTCAATGAAATTTTGTACACCGTGTGCAGTTTTACCAACTTCAGAGATAGGGTGGTTTTTAAACCGATAAGTAACCTTTATTTTTTATTGCGTATTTAAGGATTTTTACAGGAAAGTCGTCGGAAAGGGCAGAACAACGAATACCTGGTCAGCTAGTATTATATATAATGGACTTCCCTTATTATAATAGGGTAGGATGTGCCACAATACGAGCACAAACTTTTGATCACGAATCAATTTGAATTATCTATACCGTCTTACGTATATTGTTTTATAGAATACGAGCACGTATTCCACCTGATGGTAAGTGGGTGCAGTGACATCTACATCTATCAATGATTAAGAATCAAAACGCAGATGCGGTGTCACCTCTGATAACTAAGATGGACTCCCTCATTACCAGGAAAAAGAGTCCCCAGTTCTCCACATTCACCATACGAAACCACGCTGCTCTCTCTGATGAAACTCTTTCACGCTGGTATTCTGTAAGAGCGTGACCCCGTCGAGCCGACCCAATCGTACATAACTTATGTACCTAAATATAATATACCAAAACAATCAAACATTTTTAGAAATTTTTTAATTAATTAATTATTTAGAAAATAATTTTGTTCCACGTAGCTCCAATCATACGGTAACACTGTTTATAGAGCATTATCAAAGTTATAGCTCGATTTGATGATATGAATATTAGGATAGTAAGGTAATATTCGTTCGGTCATCCGGATACTAGTGTTTTAGATAAGAGTAATTACACAATATAAAGCAATATGGGCCCCCGGCGCAGCAGACCGTGTTGCTCTATGTTACATAGGTATGTTTATTTTAGAACTTCACTGACATGGGATGATAAATCCTTAAGCCGTTATCTCCCGGAAAGATTTAAACGATAATTATTATTATTATAATAACTTGCTATCAGTAATAGTAGTCTCACTTGCTTCGCATGTAGGTATACGTTTAATGAGCACGAGTCTAAAGGGAGACTGGGGAGACTTGTTCCCTTGGGAGACTTGATCACCCAGTGACAAATCAAAAACTAAACGCCTTTTCTAGTTTTTATATTGGCAACATAAGTCTTTGTTGTCTATGGTGAACTAAAAACGTCATTGTGACATCTTTATATAGACAACTTCAGAGCAGTGCAGCCATTTTTATTTTCCTGTGTCAGCATTTGTTTCGGTAAGTTTTTCATTCGTTTTTTTTAAATAACTGAATGAATAATTCACTGAGTATGTATCAAAATCATTAAAAGTAGTTTATTAAAGTTTGCATTTACATGTATTTTATTCAATTAACGTTTTCTCTTGACATGAAAAAATAATATTTTTTAAAAGAGCCCTCCCGGGTACACTTGATCACGGCAAGACGGGGTACACTTAATCCCGGGATCAAGTGTCCCATACATTCAATTTGTCAGTTTTCTTTTTTCGTTTGTTTTAGATTAATTATAAAATGGGAAGAACATATAAAAGAAAAGAGGGTGCAAACCCACGTATACGTGTTGACCCACAAATTCACCCACAAGTTGACCCACAAGAAGCAGTGAACAAGGTATTGGAGGGAAATACGATTAAAGGTACTGCCAAAGAGTATAACGTCCCAATAATGACACTGAAAAGGTATGCAAGAAAACAAAAGGACCAGGAAAATGAGATTACATACGAGCCTAATTATAGACAGTCCCAAGTCTTCACTAAAGAAGAGGAGTTGCATTTAGCCATGTACCTAGAAAAAGCTAGCAAACTCCATCATGGGCTATCTTCTCTGTGTGTTCGGCAGCTAGCATATCAGTTGGCTATTCAAAAAAAAAAACCCGGATGAGAAAATATGTAAATGGATCAATAATATTGCGTCGTATGATCGGTTCCATGGCTTTATGAAGAGAAATACACAATTATCACTACGTGTACCTGAAGCGACCAGTCTGAGTAGATCGACCAGCTTCAATAAATATAACATTGGCTGTTTCTTTGAAAATATACAAAAACTATTGGTTAAGTATCGTTTTGGACCGGAAACTTCTGGAATATTGACGAGACGGGGCTGAGTACTGTACATAAACCTAAGAAAATTGTTGCTACTAAAGGTGTAAAGCAAATAGGGAAGATGACATCAGGTGAACGTGGTGAATTGGTAACTGCGTGCTGTGCTATAAATGCAATGGGAGGATACATTCCTCCATTCATGATCTTTCCACGCAAGAACTGGCAAGATCGTATGTTGAACGGTGCACCTGCAGGTACAAATGCGAGCGTATTTCCTTCAGACTCGATGACTGCTGAGAATTTTATAAAGTTTTTACAACATTTTAAAAAATACACCAAATGTTCAGTTGAGTATCCGATGCTGATTATAATGGATAATCACGACAGTCATATTAGCATAGAATCATTAAACTTCGCTAAAAAGAATGGTATAAATCTTTTGACAATACCTCCCCACACGTCTCATAAAACACAGCCTTTAGACAGAACAGTGTTTGCACCACTCAAAGCCTATTATGATACATGTAGCGATTGGATGGATCAGAATCCTGGCAAAACTATAACGATTTATGAAACATCGGAATTACTCGGGAATATTAATACAATTTTTACACCTCTGAATGTTCTGAGTGGATTTCGAGTAAATGGAATTTATCCCTTCAATAAAGACATTTTCACCGATGATGTATTTCTCTCGTCGTATGTTACGGACAGGCTTTTAGTTACTGAAACAAATCCAGAACGCACTGGTGAGAATGACCAATCACAAAACTGTGAACTGTTGTCTCCACAACGATCAGCTACACCATCAATTCTATCTGATGCAACATTGACACGTCAAGACTTTGAGATTAACCCGAAAGTACCTGAAAATACCACACAAGATGCGATTATACCGGAACAATTCACATCCAACTCTGTCAATCCAAATGAGGTCCTGATATCTAGTACACACAAAACTCCTACAAAGAGAGCTGCTCCATCAAGTCCACAACCAGGCTGTTCAAAAATCTTGAAACGTTTTAAGACTCCTGAGGAAATAAAACCATTCCCGAAAGCTGGTTGCCGAAAAGTAACCCAGAAAGGTCGTAAAAAAAGGATCAACAAAAATCTTGACTGTTGAGGAACTATTAATAAGAAGAGAAAAAAAGAACAAAAAGATAAATAAACCAGTCGACAAAAAAGTGAATATAGTTAAACGGAAACTTAAAGGGTTTACGCAGAAGGAAAAATCTTCATCGGAAGATGATGATGAATTGCCTCCATCACCAGATTCCACGTATGATATGTCTGAAGATGAAAATGATGACGAATATGATGTTTTATCTAGTTGTGAATCTGAAGATGATCATGGAAATGACATGCCACCCGACGAAACTAACGATTGGGTTATTGTAAATTTAATATCAATGAAAAAGGGGGACGCCCATTTTCGGCCATGGAACGCCCAACAATGTGAATTTGTTAAAAAATTATATCTTTATTTATGGTTATTAATCGCGGTATTCATTTATCCTCAAACAATGGGAATATTTTTGCACATATTAAAAGTACCGAAAAGATAATGATAAAAATTAGGTAGATCATTATGTCATTAGTTTGTGAATAAAAAAAAGTGTTGCCAATCACAAAACACATTTAAAAAATCGATTCTCTTTTTCGATCGATTATTTACGGTGTCATCATTACAGTGCTAATATAATTTTTAAATAATTATGATGTTACGATAATTAAACAAGCGAATTACTAGCTGATTTCCAATGAATTCTTTAGAGAGTAACAAATGCTACGGCACAATTTAACTGTTAATCTTAACCGATCTTCTTTGAAAACAGATAAGAACTGTTATTCTTATCTGTTTTTAAAGAAGATCGGTTAAGTTATTCTTATCTGTTTATAACAATACATTTAAAATAGAATCATGTTATGATAACGAAACAAGTTAGTTTCCAGCTGATTTACCATGAATCCTTTAACCTTTTGAGCGCCAAAGTCGCCTATACTTGACCAACACCTGCGGGCCCTGAGCGCCAACGACGTCTATAGTTGACAAAAAACCCGGCTCCGAAAAATATGCAATATAGATATTGGAAAATTATTACAGGTATTTTAATTCTACACTCCTCAAAATAGGAATAACCCAGCAACATGTGAGTATAAAAAACAAGTCTTCTAGAGCCACAAGTACTAAGAAACATTGAACTAATAAAAATGGATTTTTATCTAAGCAAATAATATGTCCTGCACGCCAAAGTCGTCTATGGTTGACCGCTAGTGTCAAACGCGGGTGGCATAGATTTCTTGAAAACTATCAAAAATTCAGCTCAATGGTGTTTTTTGATTGATTGGTGAACAAATATGTTTATTTATTCCATGACCAAGATTTTAGTATTATAAGGCTGATTTACCTAGTGCGAATAATTATATACAATTGTTGATTAATGAATAATTATGTACCTTTTTTTAATAATAATACAAAATTACAATTAATGTTCTTTTTACTTAGGGTGTGAAGAGCAATTTTTCATTTTGTGTTGTGCCATTTTCTTTCTCAGTCTCAAAATCATCTAGCAGTATCAACATGTGTAAGACTTTTCTTCTGTGCGTCACTTGGCCTACGCCTTCCCCGACATATAAAATATTATGAATCGATGTCTGTATATTTCGGTTAGATCGATTTTGAAATCGATACACAACATTCTGAAAATGTTTCAAAAAGGACGGTCAGCTACGCCGTTGTCGTCCAGTCGCGATAGTGTCGTCATTGGGATGGAGAGTAGTGCTGTGGTTTACTACTATTTTATTGTTATTGTTTAAAAATACACTTAAAATAGAATTTAAATAAATAAAGGAAAATACATTTTAAAAAGCGAGCAGAAGCACCTCCAAGATTATTCTCTTTTTATGGAATTATTAATCTAATATTAATCGAATCGATATTATGATGTTATGATAATTAAAAAAGCGAATTACTAGCTGATTTACTATGAATTCTTTAGAGTATAACAAAATGCTGCTGCACAATTTAACAGTAATTGTTATCTGTTTTAACAATACATTTAAAATGGAATCATGTTATGATAATTAAAGAAGTGAATTTTTAGCTGATTCACCATGAACTGTTTAGAGCATGATAATACGCTAATCCACATTTTAACTGTTCTTAAAAATACATTGAAAAAAGAATTTAAATAAATAAAAGAAAATATATTTTAAAAAGCGTGTAGAACTTAAAGCGCCTCATATATTACTTTTTTTATTAAATTACTAATCGAATAAAAATCGATATCGTTTCATTGTATTTATGCACAGATTAAACTGTGTATTTATGTTAGTTATGTGGCAACATCAAATCTGACAGCTAGGAAATATATCACGCGAATTGGGAATGAAAATGAAATCACAATTCAACAAGTAAAAAGATACTAGAGAATTCACAACTAAATAGTCGCAATTGTGTTATTTTGTTTGTTATTTTTCAAATAAATTCTCAAGAACTCATATGAAGTGAGATTGTCGATCACATTATAGTGTGACAACAGTTAAAAGTAAGTGTTTAACAGTTTTAATTTAATAATTCTAGTGCTGATATTTGATAGTGATGAATGAATGAAATGATGAAGTTGTTTTATTTTTTAACATATGCACAAGCTATATCTGACAAACATAATAGCTTATTTATAACATGGCGATAAGATTAGCTAGCTAACTCCAGATAGTTACAAAATGGACAATTTTTATCAAATACCAAGAAATGAGAAAGTCGATTTTTAATTGTTTTTGTACTACTGGTAGGCAGTCAGCCCTTAATTATTAAAAATATAGGGCATTAAGTTTTAAGTAACATTTACCTATATTTGAGTTTAAAGTAAACAAATCTATTTTATTTTGTTCACTTTGTCTTATTTTTTTTATTTAATATTATTTCAGTTGCCATCGTCATCGCGTGTCATGATTGCTGGCAAAGGACTGATAAAGCAGCATCACGTTAAACTTTAGAACGGGAACCATCTGAATCATCTAGTCCGTCCTCGTTGCAATCTTACACTTACTTTAACAGTGGTAGAGCCAACCGGCAGCTTTGCTGTCGCACGTATGGGCCGGCTCAAACCGGGGTGGTACCACGACCTCACAGAATACCGGCGTGAAGTGGAAGCTCTGCTTCCGCGTTTCGTCTGGTGAGTGCAGGTGGCCGGAGACCCAATTCCCCCCCCCCATCAACATGGTAGCGGAATTAAATGATAGACTACCCCAGGAGGGTACCAGCACCCCTGGAGAATCCCTCGCTGAGCATCCACGACCATGTTTCTCCACTTCTGAGCGTGGGTGCTCAGGCTGCCCCGCGTATTCTGGGGGGGGGGGGGCAATATTCCGCTCAAGACTAAAACTGCTCGGGGCAAACGGAGCAACAAGACCAAGGCGACCCCTGCCACGCTGTCCGTGAATTTCTGCAATATCAGGGGACTCCACTCTAACCTAAACGCCGTCCACTACCATCTCGAGACGGCGAGGCCGGCTCTGCTCTTTCTGACCGAGACGCAGGTGTCCTCTCCGGCTGATGTCTCGTATCTCTCCTGTCCGGGGTACAAACTGGAACACTCCTTTGTGCCTCGGGCTGGAGTTTGCGTTTACGTCAGAGAGGACATCTGTTCTCGACGCCTCGGCAGACTTGAAGGTTCGGACCTGTCCATCCTTTGGCTACGCGTAGACAGCGACGACCATCCGCGCGTCTACGGGTGCCTCTATAGGTCCCATAGCGGTAATGCCGAAACAGACCGACTCTTCGACCACGTCCAAATGGCTGCAGATTCGTTGCTACAGCAGATCCCCTCCACAGAGATCGTGATCCTCGGCGACTTTAACGCCCATCACGCCGAATGGCTCGGTTCACGTTTAACCGATCATGCGGGGAGATCTGTTCATGATTTTGCCTTGGCATATGGTCTGACACAACTGGTTACTTCGCCTACGCGGATTCCAGATGTGGAGGATCATGCACCTTCCCTGTTGGACCTTCTGCTGACCTCTCACCCGGACGGATATCAGATTTCCGTCGACGCCCCTTTAGGCTCCTCGGACCATTGTCTTGTCCGGAGTGTGGTGCCACTCACGCTGAAATCGCGGTTGCATTCTGCAGGCTGCCGCCGTGTTTGGCACTATAGGTCAGCTGATTGGGATGGGATGCGGTCTTTCTTTGCATCCTACCCTTGGGGGTGGGTTTGCTTCTCGCCGGATGATCCCAACGTTGTTGCGGATTCTGTCGCTGATGTGGTACTTCAGGGTATGGAACTTTTTATTCCTTCCTCTGTGGTGCCCATTGGAGGCAAATCTCAGCCATGGTTTGGTCGCTCCTGTAAAATAGCATCATGCTATAAGCAGGAGTGCTACCGAGCCTGGGCTGACGCATCAGCGTCCAGGGATGTAAACACCAGCGCTCTAAAAAAGAAGTATAATTTCGCCTCTAGGTCCTTCAAAAGAGTCATTGCCAAGGCAAAGTCAGAGCACATAGGCAGAATTGGCGAGAGACTAGTTCGTCTTCCTTCTGGAACCCGTGCATTCTGGTCTCTCGCCAAGGCTGTCCAGGGGAATTTCTGTCAGCCATCTCTTCCATCTCTGCACAGGGAGGACGACTCACTGGCCCACACCGCAAAGGAGAAAGCCGATCTTCTAGGCTCTTTCTTTGCGTCTAACTCGACTCTCGATGACGGGGGGAGTACGCCGCCGACCATCCCGCGGTGTGAGTGCTCCATGCCGGAATTGCAGTTCACTCAGCGCTCGGTTCGCAAAGCACTCCTCTCCCTGGACATCCATAAGTCGAGTGGGCCTGATGGAATCCCCCCAATTGTGCTGAGGACGTGTGCTCCAGAGTTGGCACCGGTTTTAACGCGTCTTTTCCGGTACTCCTACTCCCTAGGCGTAGTCCCAAAATCATGGAAGACGGCTTTCGTCCACCCGATCCCTAAAAAAAGGCGACCGCTCAGACCCGTCCAACTACCGGCCTATCGCCATCACCTCCTTGTTCTCCAAAACAATGGAGTCCATTGTAAACTGCCAGCTCATGAGGTACCTTGAGGATCACCAGCTGATTAGTGATCGCCAATACGGTTTTCGCCGTGGTAGGTCAGCTGGTGATCTTCTGGTCTACCTAACTCACAGATGGGCGGAGGCAGTAGAGTCCAAGGGGGAGGCATTGGCCGTTAGTTTGGACATTGCGAAGGCCTTCGATCGGGTTTGGCACAAAGCGCTTCTTTCGAAGCTCCCTTCCTATGGGCTTCCCGAGAAATTGTGCGATTGGATCACCAGTTTTCTTGCAGATCGGAGCATCAAGGTCGTTGTTGACGGTGCAAGCTCCGATTGCAAGCTTATTAATGCTGGTGTTCCACAGGGCTGCGTGCTATCGTCAACGTCTGCATATCAATGATATGTTGCAAACCTGTAGCATTCATTGCTATGCGGATGACAGCACTGGTGATGCTCTTTACACCGGCCGAGCCAATATTTCTCGGGAAAACGTCTCTGAGTGCCGGGACAAACTTGTGTCTGAAGTCGAGTCTCTGCTGGACAGAGTCTCGGATTGGGGGCGACTAAATCTAGTCCAGTTTAACCCCCAGAAGACACAAGTTTGCGCGTTAACCGCTAAAAAGAACCCCTTTGTCGTATCCCCTCAGTTTCAAGGCACTCCCCTTGTTGCCTCAGCCAGTATCGGAATCCTCGGCGTCGACATATCGAGTGACGTGCAGTTTCGTGGTCACTTGGAAGGGAAGGCCAAATTGGCCTCTAAAAAAGCTTGGCGTGCTCCGCAGAGCGGGACAGTATTTCATGCCGGCACACCGCTTGCAACTTTACAAGGCGCAGGTTCGGCCGCTCATGGAATACTGTTCCCATCTCTGGGCTGGGGCTCCCCAGTACCAGCTCCTTCCACTTGACCGCATCCAGCGCAGAGCGGCTCGAATCGTCGACGACCGAGTGCTTTCCGATCGGCTCGATTCACTGGCGCTGCGAAGAGATGTTGCATCTCTTTGCGTATTTTATCGCATCTATCACGGGGGAGTGCTCTGAGGAATTGTTCGGATTAATCCCAGCCGCCAAATTTCCTAAACGCAATACACGGCAAACGTCCCGATACCATCCACACCATCTGGATGCTTGGCGGTTCACCACTGTACGTTTCAAGAGGAGTTTTCTTCCGCGTACAACCTCTCTGTGGAATAATTTACCACCGGTGATTTTTCCGGACCGATACGACCTGGGGACCTTCAAGAAAAGAGCTTACTCCTTTCTAAAGGGCCGGCAACGCACCTGCAATTCCCCTGGTGTTGCGGTTGATCATGGGCGGCGGTAGTCACTTAACATCAGGTGAGCCACATGCTCGTTTGCCCCCCTCTTCTATAAAAAAAAAAAATCTAAAGTGAGTAATATATTGAACCTAGAACAACAAAGCTTAGATCATACATCGTACAATATACTGCTGCCTAATTTTGTAAGACCACCACTCACACAAAATCAATGTTTTTTCCTGGTTGTAACTATTCCAATCAACTCACAGTTCCATCAACATTGCGGGTATGTCTTTTTGTGAATACAATTACTATGTACCTCCAGAATGTAGAATCAGTAACTACCATTTAAGTAGTAAATATTTTATATGTATTTGAGTTTAAAGGAAACAAATCTATTTTATTTTTATTTAGTTCACTTTTTCACTTTTTTATTTAATATTATTTCAGTTGCCATCGTCATCTCGTGTGTGTCATAATTGTTGGCGAAGGTTTGATAGAGCAGCATCACATTCAACTGCAGAACGGGAACCATCTGAATCATCTAATTCATCCTCGTTGCAATCTGAAGTCGGTAATGTATTGCACCCATATTCAAACATTCTAATTTCAATAGAGAATGAAGCTGGGTATTTCCACCTGCTTGGGACACTGTAATTAATAAAATTAAAACTAAACCCAAGCATACCATGCAAGACTTCAGGACAGTAAGTTCATTCTGCGTAGATCGGACCATAAATAGTTATTAAAAAGCTGAAGTTACTCCAAGTTAACACTGATTTCGGTACACCAGTCACCTCAATCCCCCATGACCATGTGTGCTGGAAAGCACCCGAAAGTCGGGAATTAAAAATCAAAGAAATTAAATGCGATAACATCGGTAAAATTAGTTGTTAAAAAACTGTATTTGTGAAAATAAAAACTTTTATATCTTAAAATTCCCGACTTTTTTTAAACCAATTTCTTAACCATTTCATTCCTTTAATTGTATATTATCATATCTATATGCTTTTATATGTGGGCACCCATGGCCGAAATGTCTATGAAGAGTGGGCATTCCTCTTTGGTACATCGTTATGTTGAGACAAATTCAGTCTGTTACAGATTCTGGATACATTAAAAAATTTGCAAAAAAAAATTGACGACAAGAAATTCAAGTGGCCTATAAAAGACGATGTTGCTGAAGTGGCTAGATACCAAATAGAAAAAAAATCTACCTGAGTTCAAGTCTAACAGCAAACGAGTGATCTCATTTAATTTTACTAAATCTTTAAGAAAATTTAATATTCCACGTTAGGTTGTTACCTAAAAAGATTATGTTACTTTTTGATTAGATAAGTCTTAGATCTTGCAATGCAAATGTGTAATATGAATACCTGATGTTATTAGTAGTTTCTAGTTGTCAAAGTTATTTATGTTTGTTACATTTCCTTGAGATTAATATAGAGTCGATGATAGTAAGTGATTAAAACAGTTTGAGTAATAGAAGTTATTTAAGTACCAAAGTGATTTTCAAATGTTGCTAATGTAAGTCTAACCTTTAGGTGATGAGCAGTTCATATAGACACTGTTAGACTACTACTACTAGACTTTTGAAGCTTTATTTTAAGAGTTAATAATTTGTGATATTAATAGAGTTATTGCAAGATACTTCAATAAAACCTGTTAATACCTATTAGATTTATGAAAATGTAGAACTCACATTGAGATTGAGACTCAATAGTCACTAAAATTAATACTTAAGAAATATAAAGCTAATTATATTCATAATTTTGTTATAATAAATGATACTTTTATAACCAAACCGGGTTTTCATTAATTTAAAGTTTGAATTAGGGAGACTTGATCCCCTATGATCAAGTCTACCCGTTACTGGGATCGAGTCTCCCAGAATATGGGACACTTGTTCCTTTTGGAAAGTTTTGGGAAAATGCAAAAAAATAAATGAAGCACTCATAAATATAATAATCAAATAATGGGGAACAATAATAAACAATATTGACTACCTATATATGTATGTAATATTTTTATAGAACTAAATTTGAAAAAAATATAAGCAAGAAACCAAAATGGTGATCAAGTGTCCCCAGTTTCCCCAATAGTTTTTGAATTGTTGCGAAATATAAAACTTAAAAATTAATTTATTTCTCAAATTGGTATTTATAATTTCTTCTTATGTTATAGAACCACACTACGACTGTATTTATAGCTGCAGCACGAAGAGCTCAGCTCGACTGATTCTGATTTCTGACTTCGCACAATAGAGTAAAAAGCCCCTTTTACTCAGTGCCTTCCGTTCACTTGTCGAATAATATGAATATATACATTATTTAATTTTAAAGTAAGATAGAAAACCGTTTCATAGTGAACTGAAATAATAGACACGTGCCGACATGTTGCATGTTTAACTAGTACGTTTATAAAGCGTGTCGCATACCTAGAATGTACTAACAATATATCTGGACGACAGCCAGTACCATCAATTTTTATTTTTATAGTTGAACATGATATTATTTTAAAAAAAGTTTTAACAATAATCGATACTCATTGCATTTCGTTAATATTATTAATTATATTAAAAAAATAAAAACCTTATAAATATGATTTTATTGTTAAGGTTAAGGTTAAATGTTTAATTTTATTAGAATATCAACATACCTACACCACAATGTAATTTTTGACGTGATGCCAACAATGCGTTGAGTAGCTATAAAGCGCCGGATTGTCTTGCTAACTTCGGAAAATACCTACAACAGTAATCTATGGTTGCTGGTAATGAGACATTTTTACAGCTAGTTTTTACAGAAAAATTTCACGTTATAGTCCCGTGCCGCGTGGCGTGGTATGGGGTCTTAGACCATTCACCCATATAGGGTAGGCTGTGGTAACTTAAGGGCTAAGCGCTCGCAAACCAGGTTCAATCCCCGCGGGCACCAAAGAAATTGTTAATTGCGATTTAAAAAAATCGTGTGGCAACCTACATTGAGAAATTAAAACAAAAGATCGAAGACATGTGAAGTCCGACAACATGCGTTGGGGCAGCGCCGTGGACACTTCTTTGCACTAAAATTCTTTTAGAAATGAGAGGAGGCCTGTACCCAGAAGTGAGACGTATACAGGCTGTAACTTTTTAAATATCTATGAATATTCATTGAATGAATTAATGACTAAACATAGATGTCAAGCTTATGTAATGCTTGTAATGAATAAATAGTTTATACAGCGAGCCACGTTCAACCCTAGTCTATAAAATTGATTTTTTGAAACGATGTTATCAAATATACACATTTAGTTTGAACATTTGCAGTGTTTTACGCGTAAAATATTACTTATTCCAGTTTTCTATTCAACTACCCTATTGTAACGGCTTTGTAGACAATAAACGTACAAATAGACATTCTCGACCGATTTTTGCTTAAGCTTCTATCGACCGAGATACAGTCGGCTTGGAACATCCATTAAGAAATTACTCGAGCTCGTTCATTTGTATCTTTAATGCCCCATTTACATTCAGCCCGTTTGGGCAGGGAAGTGAGCAGGGCAGTGAGCAGGGCAGTATGTAAACAGGCTACTCGCGCTGACACTGCCGCTGCCGCTGACACTGCCCGAAATGTCGGTTTTTCGTGCGGAAGTCAAAGGACGGGCAGCGCGAGCGGCAGTGAGTGTTCACATTCAGCTCCATCGCTCACTTCGCGACAAGCGCCTGGATGAACGGACGTGCGTGCCGTCCTAAATACGATCTACCAAAATGCCTTTCGAGTGGATTAATGAAAATACAATAAAGTTTTTAGAACTGCTGGAATCAGAAAAAACTATATGGGATTTCAACGATAAAAACCACAATTCATCATCTTCTACGAATACGAATTTTCTTTTTTGAGTTAACATAGTACCTATGTACATAATTAATTATAAATTCGTCAAATTTATTATATTAATATAAAATTTAGTTTAAGGAATTAATGAACATTGACATTTTATTTCTAAAAACGATTAGTAACTCATATTGATTATTTATTAATTAAAATGTAAAATAAGTTAAAAGGTAATATTTGCATAATAGCCTGAGATTTTCAAATTATAATTTTATTGTAATTAAAATTACGAATTAGTTTATACTGAAGTGTAATTAATAAAATAATAATAGCTTAACTAATCTTATATAATATTTAATATTATTTATGTAACAATAATATAATAATTCAATTAATAATTTATGAACAATTTACTGTATAAGAATTCAAATAGAGTGGATCTGTATAAGTATTTAATTGTACATAATATTTGAATTCAAAAAGAATGTGTGTACCTAACTTTTAAGCAACATCGGGTTTGTGTAATTAGCTGTATTTCATATCATTTTTCCATGCCAATTATGGCAAAACATGTCAGTTCCACGTCATTGATCATCTTATGTACCATGTTTTTAAACAAATAAATTTTCTATCTATCTATCTATCTTCTTTTGAACTTGATATCTTTTTAAATTATTAACATAATTTCGTATTGCAAGAAGACACAGCGCGGACGCTGTAATTATTTCGACGTCCGCCATAGTCGAAAGCCGAAAGCGAAGTGAGTGGTAGGGCAGAATGTGAATACACACTTCCCGCGATCCTGCGACGGCAGTATTTAGGGAAGTATTGCCGGCAGCGCGAGGAGCAGTGGCAGTGGCTGAATGTAAATGGGGCTTAAGACCTATGACATACTCGTACATTGACATAGATCTGTACTCTGTAGATCGACGCAATGTTCTTATGCCGGCTGTACACGCTCGTCGAGACACCACGAGACATGCCTAGAGGTGAGCATTATTTAACATAATCGGTTTCAAAAACTGCTTACGAGCTTGATAATCGTATACCCAGTTTCGTGGACAAAATGTAATGATTATTTTACGTACGCAGTTGACACACACCACGACCGGCACTCGTTTCGTTTTGAACAGATTATTATTAAGATGAATATAGGTAGGTACGTAACACGATATACGACTCGCACAACGAGAGTAAAGAGTCCCTTCGGGATAGTTAATGGCTTACACGCAAGATGTGGATCATAAAAATTATGTGATGTGATGGACAATAATACTTAGGCACTTACATATTTTGTGACTATAAAATTGTACAAAAGTACTAATATTGACGATGTCACGCGCATATTATAATTATAACACCTATAAAATGTTATATATTCGTAATCATAATCATAACATAACACAGTTAAACTAATGTTATAATACCTATAACCTGTTAATATTTTCGTAATCATAACCTAACACAAACACAAAACTAACCTACGCTATACTGTATTGTATACAGATGTATGTAGCGTTGCCAGGCGTCCGGATAAAGCCGGACACAGTCAGGCTTTTTGTTTGCGTGTCCGGCCAAACTAGACGGTGTCCGGGCCTGTCCGGCATTTGTCAGGCTTTTTATATTTGACCATATTTTTACATTTTTCATGTACTTAAATACATACCTACTATTGCAATTATTGAAACTAATATTGTAATGAATATCGAATGATTAATAATAAAGAACACTGATTCTTTTAATTTAAGATTTTATGGTAAATGATATAAGGTTAGCATTGTTTCACTTTAAAAAATATAATATCGTGTTATACTAAGACTGAATAATTAAGGGTGTCTTTTTACCGAAATGTCCGGCTAAGCTGGATGGTCTGTTCGGCTTCTTGGTTTAAAGACCTGGCAACCCTAGATGTATGTAGCTCATGGCGGCTGAACACGCTCGTCTCGTCGCCTCGTGTGCCTCTCATCACGTAAAGGCTCGACACGAGAACACACCATGTACACACTCGTTGTATCATTTGAAGTTTGAACTCCATATGCCCCCTAGATAAAACTGTTGCTGCGTTTTGCCTTTGAACTATTATATTTTTTACACATTTACTAAAAATAAAATTAATAACCCATTGCTAAGAAGAAGATGGTGGATAGTTTCTATTAATTTACCGTAACAGTACCATGTACGGTGAATAGAATAGTGTATAGCTTGCGGCTTGCGCCACGAAAGATGAACAGTGCGGTGCGGTATGACATACGGGGATGCGAAACCATAGCAACGGGCGACGCGCTAGCCCCAAGTATTGTCTCCCTGCGTCCAGTTACCCGCGCACATACTTGTGTCGTCTTGCGTACTATCGATATCGAAAGTGTTAGCGACTACCTGTTATACAATATTTAAAATATATATACA